GAGATCTAAATCTTCTCGTCTTTCTCGATTGAGTTGGCAAAGCCGTGGCGGCGGACACATGAAATGGCAATTTGGCTGTGTGTGCGAGGGGCTATTATTGTGTATATTTCTTGTATGATGGAGCATTCTGTATCCATTGGGTACTGAGAATTTATCGCTTCGAGACTATCGCACTCACGAGGCAAAGATTAATGATGGAAATAGCGAAAAGTGTCGTTGACTCCTCCCGCTTTGGAATGATGGGGCGATGGCAGACTTCCAGAAGATTTTTTAAGTTCGAAACTTAAAGCTTAAAGCGATTATTTATACTTACGTTCGTGTGTCGATCGGTACGTTTCAACAATAAGTTTCAATGCGTAAAGTATGACGACAAAAGCAAATAAGTAAGATAAATGAACTTTTTTTTCAATCGATTGAAGAAACTTTATGCTCTGTTCACATTGGGGCTATCTTGGTAACGTTACACAGGTCAATAATAATGATAACATGTTACGAGGGCTCTAGCGTGAACAAGTTATTGTATTTTGCAGTTGAAATTGGACATCTTAAAAGTGCAGAATCGCTTATATAAGTGCACTTTGACGTTGCATCGCCTTGGTGTCTTGAGCGCATTTTTTCTTTATGTTAGGGTGGTTCTCAAATTATTTTATATTGAAAAAAAAAATAACTTTTTAATTTTCGAAAGTAAAGACGAATGTTTTTCGGTACAGTTGCAGCTCACTTAAGAACAATTTTTCTAAATGACCTAAGGTGTTCCTTAAGCTGCTCTCTCTCTTGTATGCACTGTTCTCTAGTTTGAAATGGCTAAGACTATAGGATTCTGATGCATAGTCATTATCGGTGTTATTGCTTGATTTTGTTGCGAAGGAATCTGTTTTTGACTGACAATGGGGCGCGCCTTTGGAGGAAGTTCCTACACTCCGAAGGGTATAAAGAGCGGGATCTTCAATTAAATTGTAACGATCAGGAATTTTGTATAAATTTGTATATAATTTGATAAGGTTAAATTGTTTGAATTTAATTCCTTATGGTAGGCAGTAGGAAGACACAAGCATTTTTTCTAAAAGCTATCCTAAGACGGGTCCATTTAATTTATGGATAAGGTAGGAAAGGAAGTTATCTTTCGTGTCTTTAGATTCACGATAGGACACGAAGGATTTCGGGAAATGATGGACTTCCGGTTCGTCCGAGTTTTACTTTCCTTTATCTGAGGATTCACGATCTCGATCATTTCGTCCGTAACTTCCGAACGTTCTTGAAGTGTGCGCGTTTGTTCGTGGTCGTTGTAATTTAAAGTGATGTCTAGTGTTTAAAATTAATTAAAGATTTTTGTTCGTTCCTTTAGCTAGTAGAATAAGTGTGCGTGTAGAAAATTGTGTGCGATCAGGAGAAAGGCTAGAGAAATACAGGTAATTTTTGATGTGCTCAATATGTGCTGTCCATGTCCGTGCTCGTGCTTGTACTCACTGTTCTGGTGTTGTCATGTTGTTAAATCGTTCGCAGCAATTCACCGTGCCCAAACGCAGCAACTTCTCCCCAACGGACGGAATTTCCCGGCAATCGCCAACCGGCCGGAAGCGGACGGATCCGTTACATAATCGGTCCAAGGAGACTCAGGGGATCTCCACGTGGACACGGTCCACTCGCCGGTTTGTCAACCTACCAGCACGACTGAGTAACCGGCATCGCATCGGCGTGTGAAACGCCATTGTCAGCGAAGCACCTCCATTCATCGGATCACCATCGACGATCACTAAAGAGTGCGTCGAACCCGTCGATAGGTCATCGACTGTGACCATCACGTAAATCAACATTTTACCATTTGATTTTTTGCCAGTCTAAGACTGATGAGCGAGTAGCGCCGAGTTTCCGTGACACGCTTTTTCGGAACTCGTGATGTGGCATTCCCCGCCTTTGAAACGTAACGTTTTTCCACGCCAACGCCGTTGTCACCAGGAGCGCAGACTCGTTTGGAGCTGAGTTGCCGATAAAGTGACGTCACACACATGAACAAGTAGAGCACATGAGCACGTTAGTTAGGGAGAGAGAAATCGCACACACATAGGAGATAGGAGCGAAGTAAACCGAAATCAATTGGAACATGTAAATAAATATACGTAGGATAAGTAATGTTGGAACACCCGTTATGCACTAAATATACCGCCTGAATAGTTCCGTAATAATAAATGTTTTCGTAAAATGACCATCTCCCTAGCTTTAATTGATTGAATGTATTCGACATCACTTCGCGTTCTCAGTTGTAGTTTTCGTGTCCCGTCCTCATGTTTAGAGTTTGAATGTTCGGGAGAGTAGTCCACTTCCAGATCGGGGCGACGTCTAGTGGCAAGTGACGAGACTGCCGATGATGATAAATTCTCTTTTGTAGAGGTTTTTAGATATGGGTGAGCTCTCACCGACTCTCTGAGTGACTATTGGGTTTGTGGTTTTATGGGGATAATAGGATTTTCCCGTTTTGGACGTTTAGTTGAAAGCCGGATTGCCTGATCCGTAAATCCTTTCTAGGAAATTTAATGGACTCGCCCTTAGGAGAATTAATTAATTTAGCTTTATTTAGGAGGCTTTCAGCCTTAGGCTGGTTCGCCTCCAATCCCTTAGGAGAGTCTCAACCGGGCAAATTTACATTGGGCGTGTGGTCTCCCTTGTGGAGTGGCGCTTAAACCACACGTTTTTAGAGACGGATCGCCCGGGCTGGCTACAAAATCTTGAGGATCCTTGCGATCAGTGTCTGTTTTTATCATTTATCATCACACGCAAGGAGTATCGCTTCAACCCAGTGTAGATGAATTGCGTTTGTTTTGAAAATCTTCGCTGTTACGTACGAGCGCTATATTTGAGTAAAATGAAAATAATCATTTTGCATTTGATCCTCAAAATCATCCCCACCAAGATGAAGACGAATATTAATATTGACAACAACGGAGGCGATAATGAACATCCAGCCACGAATGAAGAAAAACTAATGTTGACTACGATACTCAGAGGTTGCCTTGATCAAGAGAATGTTGTTATGTCAAAATTCAGATTCATACATGTAGTTGGTCTATCTGTTAAGGTTGTCTTCATTTTCAGCTATGATTAGTGTAGAAGGAACGATTTTTATCAGCACTGGTTGCAAGAGTCAGACGGAAAGGCAACGGATTATCATAGAAAATGTGTCGAGTACTGTGATCGCTTACACCACTGGTGAAAAGTGTCTTTATTTTCTCACAACAGCGATAATTTCGATCTCTGTATCAAAGTCACTCAAACACTCGTCCGCTTCATCGAAGCCTGAAAAAAAGACCAATGCAAGGTTGCAAATACTCATTTCAGCTAAAACAATGTTTATTTAAATATGAAATAATTTGATGCTATGATCACAGATCAGGTTGCAAAGAATGTGTTTGACATATTAAACCTGTTTATTTCACTTCATGAGAGTCACAATCAGCGATTTTTCACATGATCGCAACTGTCTCGTGGACAGCCTTATTGAAGCTGATTTTGGAATCATTCAAAATTCCTAAGAGTTGGATAATTTCAGAAAATCTTCACTGGTGCATTTAAGGTGACTCCTTGAAGCGTTCAACAATGGCCGTCATGATGGCTGATATGCCGTATCACTTTCTAGAGCAAAAATCTCGGTCACTGTTGTGACATCGCTCATGAAATTGATACTCCATATGTGCTGCTCCGCAGCTAGAATTAAGTTCCAGTTTCATTGATGTGTGTTTTGTAAGAGCTGATATTTGTGCTATTGAAATTTCGAGGCGATAATTCGAGGGATCAGAACAGTAAGGTCTCTGCAGCGATTAACCTTAACCAACTGATCCATAATTGTGACCAAGAGCAATATTCCCACAATTATGGATCAGTTAATATTTAGCTCAAGTGCACTTCGTTTTGAACATACATAAATGCATCAAAACTAATTTAAACTGATTATATTCATCATGTTTCAGCATAAAATAATGAAAATTGTGAACTTTGGCGCTTATATAATTTGATTAATCTCCTACCATAATGAAAAATAAAAGTGAAATGCGTAAAATGCATTGTTCATATCTTTTTTTTCCAGGAAGGCAGCTCCCACACCTGGACCCTACCTATCGACCCATCAACTCATGAACCGGGGACCAACGGCTTTACTTCCCATCCGAAGGAAGGCGTGATCAGAGATGTTATGCCTCAGAACATCCCGGCGGCGCCGACTGGGATTGAACCCAGGCCTGCTGGGGTGAGAGGTAATCACGCTTACCACTACACCACCGGCGCCGTTCATTGTTCATATCTAAGTTCTTTGAATTTAAATTGATTTATTAAAATTAGACTTCGCACCAAGTGATCCATTATTGTGGGCGAAGTCTACTTGAAAGTCAAATGAAGTTCTGGAAGCTTCGTTGAGCTCAAGTCAAATCTCTCAAATCTATCAGCTTTGTCGTTCTTTGCTACAATTCCAGAGAAGGCCTAGAAGATGTCCCATCCTAGCACCATCATCGGACCTGCACCACATCCGAAAGCTTTTGCCAATCGAATTGAAGGTAAATTGGAAATGTAAATAAACAAAATCCTGCATGCCTTGGTGTGGTCGTCGCCTCGTCGGACAAAGCGAAGACGATCGAAGAAAAAATATGGAATTGCGAAACATACACGGTCGATCAGACCAACTCAATTTCATCATTTCATCATTGAATTTTCGGGCTTTTCCAGGGAAATTTTCTCGAATATGAGGAACATTCGATAGAGCCTATTAGTGCACTCCTAGATTGAGTAAAATTGTCATGGATTTGCCTCATATTCGAGAATTTTTCCTGGTTTCCCACGGCTTTTTCCCGGGAAATTCAACACATTTTTGCCGAAATTGAGTCGGCTCGACTCAATTTTGAGTCGATCTGATTGACCGTGTACATAGAACGTGGTATGGTGGGCAGGAATGGATCTCGGGCGGGGAACGGGTATACATTTCTCTTCAAATTGAAAGCTTAAATAGTGATACCTACACTCATCTCCACATTCGGGTGATCGATAAATATCATCTCGGACTCTTCTCCGTCTAGCAGAATGCTAACGGTCTTTTCGCCAAATTCGTCATCTGCTTGTGGAAAGAAAAAGAAACGGTGGAAGGTGTTAAAATTGGTGTTTGCTTAAGACTTATTTCACCCCCTCGGCGACTCTCATCAGTTGACCCATTTTCGCTTAATTCGCCAGCGCTAATGAATTTCGTTAAAGCTAAGCTTACCCAAGCTGGCATCGTAGGTGTGCATGTATTCCGACGTCATAAACTGGGAGACGAGTGCCGTCTTGCCGACTCCGGAGTCTCCGACCATCACCACCCGGTACCTGTGACATTGAAGGCGCGGTGCGCATTATAGTTCACTGAAGTCATTCAAAAAACTTTTGCTTGAAATGACTCACCTCGTTGGAATGGGTTCGCTGTCGTCCTCCTCGGCGTTAGGGGATGAAGGCAGCGAGTCAACCGTGGCGTACCCTCCCCCGCAGCACGAACCGTCGAATGGCGAACGTTCGCTGGCCCTGAAATTTTGCATAACACATATACATAGATGAGAGTTGGAGTTCACCGCTTGTGATGATAAGAGAAGAGGTCTCTGCTGGGTAGACTGTACAATAGGGTGGTTCAAAATTTCGATTTTGCTACACCGCGCTTAATCGATTCTAAATCGGGTCCTGGTCGTTCTGCAAAATTTTGAGCTCATTGGGATGCGATTTCATACTGCACTGCTTCTTTTAAGGGTATATGGGAATTATCATTGGAAAAAAGAACATGTCGTTCTCATCCTTCTAGCCTTTTCTCGGTAAGCTTGCTTTTTGAAATTTTATCAGCTTTAAATTTGCTGCAGACAACTTTTTGATTGACCTTCAACTTAATTACCTATTAATTGATTTTCAAACCAATAACTTTCTTTCTGTTATCAGGGCAACACTGGTTCTTGCAGTATGACTAGAAATACTCCGAGGGAGAGATATGCGGAGAAAACAAAATACAATTCGGCAGCAGGATTTTGTATGTAAATAATTTAAATTATTATCTTCCAACCCTTGCTAGAAGCTAGCATTTCCCATGACTTTTGTTTTCGATTCGATGTACGTGCAAAATTATAATTGAGTGCTTCGCAATATTTTGCACATTTCTTGGTGCCATTAATTAACCAACAGAGATCAATAAAATTGATAATTATTTTAATTTTAAACACTAGTTGAATTACAGAAGCACACGAAAAATTAAAATGATTGAATTTCTATTTAATAACAATACTCTCAAAAATGATCAAGTAAGAGTAATAAATCCTCGGAAAAAATCTGATGGGAATGTTCGATTGGATGAGAAGTTGACAGTTCATTTGGCTCAAAACATTCCCTCCGTTCATCTCTTCCTCTGAAGATGTATAGGTATGACATAGTAGCCTGGATTTTTGAACCATGTTGAACCCAAGAAGAACACCAATGCTGCCTGCTGAGCAGTTAATGGAGTATGTCAGAAGAATATCATCTTGCCAATTAATTAATAAATAATTATCCTGACGTTCAATTCAAATGCAATCTTCAGCAAAGTTGTAGCTGAGAAAATGTGTCAGATGTTCAATTATCCCATAGTAATTTCCATATAAACTTCAAAGGGCCATTGCAGTATGATTTTGCAACTAAATGAGCTCACATTCTGTGGATCTGATCAGGAACTGATTTAGAATCGACTGAGTGGCTGGAGGAGCAAAATCGATATTTTGAACCACCCTACTGTACCCCTACTGTACAAATATAGCAAACAACATGTTGACTTTGCAAAGTGAGAAAAGGCAGACTCCAACGATCGCGAAGGCAAAAGGTTAATTGAATAAATGAACGAAATGTTCTTGCAGCTTGTTTTTCCAGTCGGAAGGGGATTTTCCGCGAAATTATGTAAATTAGCTGAATTATTGATGGATTGCCATACATATATATAAATATATGCGTTGCAAAAGTTGAGACATGTAATGCGAACGATGTGTGGGAATGCTTGATAATCAATTAGAAAATGATCGATTTGTCGGGTGGATGGTTGTGTAAATACAGTAGGTTGAATTAATCTGCTCAAATTATATCGTGCTTCTGGCTAAGTTTGCTTCATTTGTTTTGCATTAATTTAATTGAACTGAATGGAATACATCTTGAATGTAGTACTGCCGTATCGCGAGGATAGAAACGAAGATACTATATATGTATGACATATCGAGCGTTGTTCGTAATGGAACGATTTGCGTAATGAGTTTTATCCACTTTTAACCCTTCCATACCCATGTTGTTCGTGAACAACACATTTTTCATATGCTATTAGATAATAACATCCGATTTTCAACACATAGTTTATCAATGTTACGGAAGATATATCTACTTTTTTTCATTTTTCTATTGAATGCACAGGGGCAAAATCGATTTTGCCGATGTTAGAGGCCCTAGAAAACTAACTACTCTTAAGGCCTGTACTCGAAAAAAAAATGCACCAGACCAAAGTGTTCGCCAAAAATTTTCTTGAAACTTTCAGGGAATGAACTAATACATATGGATTCTGTTTCGGCGGCCCGCACCTTTCTCTTAAAACCCCTCATTACATTTTGTGCAATGGTGGAAGCGACCTTTTTAGTCACTTTCATCCATTCTTTCTTCAACTCCAGCTCGTTCTTAAACACCTTGGTCGATTTTCGAACTTTGGCCTTCATTATGGCCCAAAATCTTTCCACCGGACGAATCTCTGGTGAATTTGGGGGGTGGTACAAAAACAACGTTATTGTCGCTGTACCAATCCAACGTCGATCGCGCGTAATGGCATGATGCCAGGTCCGGCCAAAATAATGTCTCGCCTCCGTGGGACCGCAGGAAGGGCAACAGACGCTTCTGGAGGCACTCGGTGCGGTAAATTTCGTTGTTGATGATACCCATTGTGATGTACGGTTTACTCAGTTTACCGCATTGGCATATGGCCAGAGCAAGTATTTTTTGGCCAATTTGTCCACTTTCTTCTTCCTAATGTCTTCCGGAACATCAAACCGTGACGTAGAACTCCAGTCCTGGTATCTGCTTTGCGTCTGACTTGATGTAGGTTTCGTCATCCATAACCACACACATCGGTTTCGTTAATCACTCTCGATACAGCTTCCTTGCGCGGGATTTGGCCGCCGTGTTTTGTTGATCACGCCGGTTCGGTGCCTTGCGGACCTTGAATACACGAAGCCCAGCTCGTTTCATGGTTTGCTGAACGAACCAGGCGGAACACTTTGCCTTCAGAGCCACGTCGCGAATCGAAAGGTTCGGATTACGCTTGAAATAATCCAACACCTTCCGGGCCTTAACAGGGTCAGCTGTCTTCGATTTTCTTCCACTTCCAGCCCGCCGCTCGGTCGTCTGGGACTCCTTAAACGATTTTACCGCCCGAGACACAGTTGTATGGGTGATTCCCAGTTGTCTTCCGATCCATCTCTTGGTCGCAGTCGGATTTTCCATGACGGCGCGCAAAATTCTCCGGCGATTTTCTTCTTGTTTCAATGACATCTCAATAACCACTGAACCGATTGTTATGAAATTTTGCACATGTAAACAATTCACTCCAAACTAGTTATACCCAGATTTTCATCAATTTTTACCCACGGTTACACACGGATAAAAATGGTGCATTTTTTTCGAGTACAAGCCTTATGTAAAAAAAAAACGCTAAATCGACTTCAAATGACGAGAAGTGACCCATTTTGCTCCATTACCCCTAAATTATCCATTGATCTGTAAAAATCCTCGTATAATGAATCGTTCCTCAAATCTTGATGGGTAATTTAAAGCATTTCGTGATTGAAAAATGGCTGGGAATATTTGTTTCCATGTTTAAAATTATTACGTCGCATTATTGACGCACGATTTCGGCAACATATTTTGAGTGCAATTGACCGCATCACGAAAAGTGGTCAGGTTTTGACCACAATTAACTCTGTCAAAAGCGGATGGATTTTAATTCTTAATTTGTACAACCAATCTTGAACACTTGAACTTGAACACTTTATTGATTTTCAATGGGTCACTATTGAAAATTACACAAATGTCCAACTGTTGCAATAGTGATCGAAATTATCACCGATTGCCTGCAAACAGCGCTTTCCCTAACCAAGGTTGCAAATACTCATTTCAGCTAAAAACATAAAACCTGTAAATGTTGCTTTCTATGAGTCACAATCAGCGATTTTCTGATCGCTGGGTGAGTGAGTGAGTGAGTTTGTAAAAAATCGCTGATTGTGACTCTCATGAAGTGAAATAAACGGGTTTAATATGTCAAACACATTCTTTGCAACCTCTTCTTGTATCTTACCAATTCAAAATATGATCATGGCATCTAATTATTTAATAATTAAAAAAAAAACATTATTTTAGCTGAAATGAGTATTTGCAACCTTGTCCCTAACATAGATTTCAAAATCGAATTCGATGCTTTCTCCCTGAACGGTGCTTTTTCAATTACGGTGTGTGGTGGTGTCCGGTCGGTCCTCAGCAGCAGCAGCAGCAGTGCTTTCGGCGCGTAGCTTCCATTTATTAACGTCCTTTTAAACGAACCACCTTGAAGAGGTAGAAAAAGTTCATTCAGGACGGCTTTCGGCGCGTAGCGTTGAACATTGTACACAACGAAAAACTGCCCGCAAGCAGGGAGCTGCAGCCCACATGAGCGTCCATTCATCGAAGAAGGACGAAGAAGCCCCACCGCTACTGATCGGGATCCATCTTCGAGAGGCGCTGTTGGTCATCTATTCCAAGCGCGTCACCCTCGTTCCAAACAAAATACAGCTCACCATCCGTGTTGAACACCTTAATAGCTCAGCATTACTCAACCATCACGGCAAAACGGTCCTTTTCAGGACTACTATAAATTTATCATTTTGTCAAGCTTTTGCATTCATGTTCCATCAGATGTCACTGCGGTGACATCTATCGGGAACTACGCATAATCTGTGTTCCGTTAATTGTTCACACAGGACAGTGCAGTGCAAAACATGCCTGGTACTTCTATATACAGTACTGGACAAAATAAATCATCGCCCATATAATTTGTCTTTGGAGCTCGATATATCAGGTAGATTCAAACATACAATAATGGTTTGTTCTGCAATACTTCTGTATGCTTTTCGCTAAAACTGAGTAGGTATAGAATATTCAATATATTGTATGACTTGTAGCCTTTTAGCTGCTCAGAAGGGAAAACGGGTAAGGTTATGCTGAGCACTGGGTCGCTAATACTCAATGAGCACTATCACACAACGTCAACAGAATATTCATTTTAGCCGGCGCTATACTTTCGTCAACAATTGACTTTTCCAGGTAAAGGGAACGGTTACCAATCAAAACACCAAGGTAAAAATACCTAAGGTATAGTGGACTTAAAAGGTTGAGGCCTGGGTTCCCCTTTTTGGATACGGAATCATACAGAACGAGAACGGTGTATATAAATTACCTTTGGGAATGCTTGCTTGAAAGAAAGCCAACTACTACCTGATTACATGCCTAAT